GGCGGTGTCCCACACAAAGTAGAGGAAGATGGGCACAGATGTTAGCCCAGGGCCAGTCTTCCTCAGCAAAAAGAGGAGGAGTGGCATGGATGTTAGCTCAGAGCTGATTTTCCTCACCAAAGGAAAAAAAAAAAAAAAGCTGTTAATTTGTACACTGAGCATTTTTCAAAGTGCAAAGCACTTCCACCCCTCTGCTATGGATCTGTCATTACACATCCCCCACTCCTGGGTCCCTGGAATCCAGCCATCCTGGACCCTGGCTCTCAGCTCTGCCTACAAGTTGGTCAGAGTCTCAGGTCATAAAATGAAGGCGTTTCAGCCAACTCCGCAGCCCAGGAACAAGAAAACATGCCAGACTTCACTAGTGGCTCTGCTCAGGTCTTCAGACAGACACTTCTGTTTTATCTTCTCCTACTGGGAACTCTCTCCTCTTTCACACCTCGTCTGTGGCTGCTCTTCGGGCCACTGGGCCTCGGCTGCATCTCTCAGTGGTTCCTTCAGCCACTTCATCCTGGTGATCCACAGGGTTTCCACTCCTCCTAAACCTGATCTCACCTCCGTCCTCCTTACAATACCCCCCCACCCCCACCCCACAAACCTTCTTACAGCCCCATTCCCTCCTTGCTCTCCAGCCCCATACCCGGCCTCCTTCCTCACTCTCCAAATCATCCTGATCACTGCCCATGGCTCCCCATGGAACATGACACTGCAAGCAGCCATCTCCTCTTGTGGCACTCTCCTTCTCATTTCTCTCTTTATGGTACTGCTATTCTCTGGGAACCTCAGTTCTGCCCCATCCCCATTTCTGAGCAAGACCAAGTCACTGTGAGCTCCTTCAGTTCTTTTCTTGGAGTCTCCACAAGGAAAGCTCCAGAAGCCACTGTCTGCTTGCCGCTCTCCAGTCACCTTAGAGGATGCTATGTCTGATTTAATGAGAAAGTCTTCAAACGTGTCATTACCCAACTTAACCTGCAAGTTAAAATATGCCACATAAGAAAGGAGGTGTTGCTGTATCACTAACTGAAAGGCAGATAATTTAGCATAGGGACAGGGTCACTTTTCTAAATAAACACAATTGCAGTTTTGTATGTTAAATAGTTTTGGGCAATAGTAAATTCAACTTGTTCCATTTATGTTTGGGTATTAGATATTCTAGGATCTTACTGATCAAATCATGTCAAATTCACTTGACATTTCAAAGTATAAACAACTGTTAAAGAATTGCTTATTTTTATTTATAAATTATACTTAGTTTGCTACCACGGCAACCAGAGAAACAATAAATCCAGACATTCCTGCCCAACAGATCTTCCTAAAACACTTTACTGCTCACTCAGGCACCAGACCAGGTCCTTAGACAAATGAGGACCTGGTCTTCAAAGTGGACATTCCTCATTCTGTCACTGACCACTGTGCAAATGCTCCCCCACCAGGCCTAAACCTCATGCTCTACAACCCACCCCAAGGTCCCTTCCAGCCTGAATTTCACCTTCTACAACGCCAGGCTGCTGGCCCAACCACACCCAAGGCTACCTCCACCTGCCCACTTCTAGGGGCCCGCCAAGGTGGCCCAGGGCTCCACCACGGAGCCCACCCCACAGACACCACCCCCCTCCCCCAGCCCCAGTCCCAATAACACCTGCGCCTCCAGAGAGTGAGACGCTCCTGGAGAGGAAAAAGTTGCATTTCTGTACACACAGCCCTGCATACTTGGCCGAAAATCAAGGATTTGTGGAAATCACTTGTATTGTGGAAAACCACATGCCCTAGCACTCTTGTGCATACTCAGCAACCCCCTACACACCAGTCCACACTGGGTATGGGGCTCACCAACCACCGTGGAAAAGGCATTTGTATTCAGATCTTACCCAAACCATTTACAATACTCACAACAGCCAACATACAGGATTACAGTCCTCGTCTTTCTCTATTCCCCCCAAATTAATACATTATTTAGTATTTTAATAAAATGACAAACCACACCTTAAGCCTAAACTATTTACGTACTCTTCCAAATTCTCTGTA